AGTTTACGTCGTAAACTTTATTTTGCGAAAAATTCATGTCTTAATATTTATAAACAATTGCGCTACGAATTTTTTAAAAAAAATTCTTATCTTGGCTCCTGTTGGTCGTAGAGGGTACTTTTTTTATTTTAAAACTGTATTTTTTTGCCAGCTATCTATTGCATCTATTTTCGGTGAGATGGCATAAATAGCAACAATGTTATTCAAATTGTTTATAAGCGAAAAACCATGGTTTTTTAATGCACAATTTGAGAATGTTAATGTCAAAAAAACGGTGATATTTTTTAATAGGTCGCTTAATTGCGTCTTTAAGATTACAATGCTTCAGAATCATGTTTGATTGAAAATTAACGCCTGTACATAAGCTTAAAGTTCATAACTTTTGGAGCCTCCGTGATAAACAAGCACCAACAGCGCCCACTTTTGGCACACTTTTGAAGTATGACAAAACCCTCAACTTGTCATAGGTTTTATAAAATTTTAACGATAAATAACGATAGTTATAAACAAATTAAAAAATGGGCACTTTTCTTGTTTTTTTGCAATCATGTTTTTGTTTATTAACCGATTTTAGTTTAACAAGTCTCATTTTGTAGATAATTTTACTCCCTACAAGCTGTCTGAGAGTCACATTTCGCTAAAATTGATGGTTTTCCCTGCAAAGTGAAAAATCTGTTTTCCTCACTTATTTGTTTAATTGGAAAAGTTAGCTAATAAAAGTTTTTGACTCACGAGATGAGAGATTTTTTCGAGTAAAAATTTAATTTGCTAGAGAGCCTATACGTATTTATCTGTATTTTATATTTCACGATTTTCTGGCAGAATTTAACAAGCAATTTAGCGCGCTTCGAATCAGCAGATATTTGGCAACACTGTGAGAAATTATTCACTTCGCGACCAGCAACTGGTGCGGAAATATTTGTTTTGAAATGTGGACGATAGAAAATTACATTCGAAATATTATATTATTTGAAAAAAAACCATACCTCATCAGGGATCGAACCCCGAACCCTTAGAGTAGTAGGACAACGCGTAACGCTCTGAGCCACACGACCACGTTTAGTTAGTTTCGATAACCTGGCTTATATATTTAACGTTGTGCCTCTTGTGATATAAACAATAATTATAATGAATATATTGGCAGCCTGCTGGATAGCAGTAATAATATTATTGGCATATTTTGAAGAATTATCAAAAACAATAAAAAATAAATTGTTGCATATTTAAAAATGAACTATTTATCTGTCAGTTTAGAGAAAGTATAGTGCTGTAAAGTATTTTCCATGGTAATGCAATGATTTTTACATTCGTGAAAAAACTGTTTTCCTCACTTATTTGTTTAGATATAAAAGTTAGCTAATAAATGTTTTTGACTCGCGAGATGAGAGATGTCTTGTGTTATGTTCCTTTAGACAATTTTACAATAATCTCGCGGATAGGACTTTTTTCGAGTTTCTCTTTTATTTTCGCTAATTTTCCTGGTGTATAGGCCATATTTTATAAGATATCGGTAACCACGCCATTTATAACTTTCTCGGACTTAACATACCTAAGCCTTTAATCATTGGTTTTAAAAGCTACGCTTTAATTACTAAGCACGGTAATGACCGTTTTGAAATCTGAGATTAACTATTATAGGATTTCGTTAAGAAGATCCCATTGTCGTAAATTTAATGAATTCCTCTGTATGATTCTTCGAATGCGGGTAGGTTAGGCGCGAGCATTGTTGTAATTGTTTTGAGGTTGAACTACACCCACGTGATACTGATAAATAATTTGTATTGTATTTAATGTATTGTGACAAACTTTCAAATTATCACCATACGTAAAGCCTTTTTCACGGTTTGATCGTCATATAGTAGACAGATTAAAATTTTTCATTGGGTTAGATTTTAAGACTACTAAATATTTATGAGCTTTAAAAAGATTAATAACTAATAAGCACGAGAGGTCGAAAGTATAATAAAAAAAAACTACTCCATAATCCGACATGGCCTTTGAAAGGCATTTTGAATAATTAAGCGCCATCTAATGATTCACGATTAGGAAGGTTTCCCTTTAATGCGTTTTTGTCCGTTAAAATGTTATCCTACGGAATGTTTTATCTGTTTAATGATTCCACTCAAAGGTATTTTCACATTTATTGTCTTGCCACACCTGCATAATTTGTTTTCAACATCGTTTTTCCTCTTCCAGATACCAGTCTGTTACCAGTTTCCAAATCCTTAGAAAGTACTAAATTGGAGAACACCAAATCAAAATGGAATCAGTGGTCTCCCTTGTCAGCTCTAACTACCAAATCAGAAAAGAGGAAAACTGTAGACGACACGGCTTTGGAAGTAAGTATAATCCTTTCGCCCGAGGTTATCTCGAAAGTAGTCCTTGAAAGTCAAAACTACTTTTTGGAAAATAGTGTCGCAATTAAATTCACACTGATTAATTTTTTGACTTGTGTAATTCAATAAAAGTATTTACAGGCAAATGAAGTTAAAGTTGTCGCACTGAGGAGTCACGATTTCACCGGTTTAGGTTTCAACATTTGCGGCAACATGAAAGAGGGCATTTTTATCAAAGATATACTGCATAGGGGCCCGGCATTTGAATCGGGGAAACTTAACCCAGGTAATTATTTTTTAACTAGTATGAAATAAGTAATAAAAATGTTGAAATGCATTTTTTTTTAAAAAAACCCTTTATCTTTATACATAAATTGTGAGCTGAAATATCCCTAAAGACAAAATGTTATCATCTTTAAGAGCTTCCTCCTATTATTTTTTAGGTGATAGGATAAACAGTGTAACAATTAGCTTCGAACACATGGTTTATGAAGATGCTCTAACAATTTTGAGCTACGCCAGTCCATATGAGGTCATGATAGAAGCCAAAGGTGGTAAATTAATCCACAACACACCAGGACAAGGAGGCCAACCAAGTCATCCAGTTTATAGAAGTTCATCTTGTGCTGATTTGTACCACGTAAGTTTATTCAAGTAAATACATTAACATTTCCAATAATTTGTATTAATTTCAGGTTGAAAAATCATCAAAGAAGAAACTATTTGGAGATGATTTCAATGGCTCCTTAAGTTCCAACTATTCAAGTTTACAAAAATCAAGAAGCAACATGACGACATTGGAGAGAAAAGAGTCCAAATCACCCAGACAAGCTCATCCCAATGCGAAAAAAGCGCCAGCGAAACACCTAACCCCTGAACAACTTAAGTCACAGCTAGAGCAAAGAATATTAGCTGATCATCAACATAATTTGAAAGCTAAAGACAGTAAATCTCAAAGGGTGGAGATTGAGACCCAGAAAACTGAAAACAAACATCACAAATTTGGAATAAGGGTGTTGCCTTTGGAACAACAACAAAAGAGTCCAAAAATCCTCGAGCAAAATGAGAACAACATGAACATTGAGAAAAATTCTGAAACAGAACCTGTGGGCATCGACGAAGTGGATGAATTAAAGAGACAAGCACCGCCGGTGAAGAAACGAGAAAAGAAACCAGAAGAAACTCCAGAGAAAGCCCAAAGCTTTGAAAGAAACAGCTTGAATGGATCTGGAATTAAAAGGGATGAGCACGGAATTCCCCAAGAAATTCCTAACCACATGTTCAACGCAGCTGTGGCAGCTAGAAAGAACAGAAGAAATTCGGAGGATTTCAAGGAAGAAGATGATTCCAAGACTCCTAAAAGGAAGGAAAAGGCACCATCTCCTCCAGCAGAAATGAAAACTAAAGACAGCTTAAGCAAAGCCATATTTGATGAAATAAAACTAATTAACGAGGATGCAGAAGAATCCCTCTTTAAATCAAATAGAAGAGAAGAGGGTGCGGAAAAACAAGAGTCGGATGTCAGAGAAGAAATTAAGGATTATAATTCGGACTCAGATGTAGAAACAGATAATCAGTCTTCAGTCAATACAATAGAGCTGAACTCTAGTGACATCACTATTCATCAAACTGAGGAAGAAGAAAGACAAAACAGAAGAACAGCCAGCACTGGAGACCTCACAAAGCTCCATAAGAGCAGGAAGACTAGTTCTGGGACATTGGAAAGAGCTCAAAGTTTAGACATAACCGACACAGGTATACCCAGCCTGTCGAGAAAGCGTAAAGGGGGACTTATTGAAGACATGCAGTCTGATGAGGACTTGTTTGGGAAAGTTATGATAGACAAAGAGCCGCGTTTGTCTTTGATTCTAGACGGCTTGACCACTTTCCAAAGAAACAGACTGAAGAAATCCACGGAATGGGGCAATCTTGAGGATGCCATCCTAAAATTTAACCAAGAGGATGAAGGTGTCACCAGTTCTGAAGATAACACGTCGCTAGACAATTTTAAATTTAGTTTTGGTGATAAATCCCCTGAGTTTGACGCCCTTGTTAACAAAATTAATGAGATAAAAAGGGAATCGCTAGAAATTGAGATACCACCAGAAATCGCCGAAATACAGAATACGAAGACTGAAAAAAAAATTAAGAATCAAATTTGGCCAAGCTTTGAAAACGAGCAGACTGCTAATGGTACTGCTCACGTTCTTCGAGCAGATAAAGGAAAACAGATTGAACTAGAATTAAACGAGAAAAAGAGTGAGCCTGTTAAGAGATACGACAAAAGGCAACAAGTACCAACTGCACAGGATAGAATTTCCCCACCTTCAGTTGGACACACTGATTATAAGACTAACGTGCCAGAAAAAATTACACTTGAAAATACGGAAACGACGGACACAGGCGTCAAAAGAAGACAACTGAAACCCGTAGCTGTTTTTGATATCCCTACACCAGAGTATAAGGAAGAAGCCAAAATTGCTTTTTCAAGCATTCAGCTTAATTCAAAAGGGCCAGAGAAAGTGAATACGAGACAAAGAGTACCTGAAGATCTGCCAGTAATACCTCCACCTTCAGTACCAGAAGAAGCAGCAGAAAAAGTACCTGAAACACTTGAAAAAGTTTTAAATGACGAATGGAATACAGCAATAACAGAAAATATTGTCAATACTTCTCCGCCTCCATCTTTAGAAATAGATGTGGTTAATCAGGAACCTAGATTTTCAGGCAAAGTTGAAGAAGTAAGCCGAGATATATTTTGAATTTTATAATAACTGTTAAAAAATATACTCATAGAGAAAACAAATAAGGGGTTGTGTTTCTCTATAAATAAAGTCACTGAATTGACATCTATAAATTATTGTCAGCGCCATCTACTCTCTTGGAGTGGAATTATATGTTTTAGCTCAGGAAACTATTAATAGATGGTTCTCTGTTTGTAATGTAAAAAAAGATGCAACATTAATAATATTATGGCGCCATCTATAAATTTTTAAACGCATTAATGCTGAAAAAAAATTCCAGTGCGTCGCTAGATGGCGCTGCAGTTAAATAAAATGCTGTTTGTTTTCTCTATTAATATTTCTATTACCGTTTTTTGTCTGTTTAAAATTATAAAGCATTTTCCACTCTTTTTTTTAATTAATACAATGATAATAATATGTTTTTACTCAGAAAATTTTTTTCTTTGTATTTTCCATAAAGTTTTTGTCAATGTATTTTTCTGGTACATTCAAATTAAACGGATGGAATAAATTAATAACGATAAAAAATTGCTAAGTAATTTACAATTTACATTTGCAAAATTTCATATTGCAGCACTTTTTGACCAATCGTCTTAAGATAATGTAACATCGATACAAATGAATTACGGCTATATTCTAAATACGTTTTTCTCCTTAGGTAAACATCAGACCTGCCGGACACAGTTCCACAACTTTGGTCAATCGTTCGGAAGAGGTGCTTTCTAAAATACCACTACTCAACTCAATGGTAAAGAACCAAAAAGAAGAGGCACTGAAAAAACCGGTGTTGAGCACAAATAACACCGACGAAACTAAGACCGTTGTAACTTACAACACCAGACCCACCCAACCGAACTTGTTAGACGTCACTCAAAACTTTTTGTATACAGAACAGTTGAATAGTAGTCAAGACGACTATACTTATTCCGTCAAACCTTACGATACCAATATTTCCGATGATATAAAAGTATCGAGACACTCCCAAGGCAGTTTGGAAAGGCTCCCTAAATCTGACGATGCCAAATCTGAGGATTCTCTAAAGCACGTCAGCAACGTAAATGTGACTAACGTCGCAAATGGAGACACGGAACTACATAGCTTGGAACTGAGCATAAACGAACCCAGTGAACTGTATACAACTGCGCTAGATAGTACCGTTACAACAGATAAGGAAGTGAAAAATGATAGCAAAATAACTATTTCAACACCAGATTTGATAAAGAACGTTACGTTGGCAGAAGCTATAAGTACTTTAAATAACGACGTTACAATTAGAAGTCCTACATCGTTGACTGTTGAAATTCCTAAAGATGTGGTGGAAGTAACCGAAAATAAGTTTTCAACTGTGACGGAATCTCCAGAAAGCATCGTGGCTGCTGCCGATAAAAGTACCGACAGCAGTAACAGCTCCAAGAGCAATTCAACTTTAACATACATTACAGAAATACAAGTATTAACACCAAGTAACACACGAACTAATATTTCCGAAATCGAAATAACACCCGATACTTCAAGCGAAAGCAGCAGTAGAAATCTAGATAGCGAATTTGAAAACTATGTAAAAAATTTCGAATCCAAATTGGAACGTTTCGAAAACAACATTCAGGACTTCGACAAGAACTTGGAAGAGTTTATAAAGGAAGAACCAACAAGCATCATACTTAACGAGAAGGTGGACGAGACGGAGTTGCATAAAATCCAAGAGATTGCAGAGGAGCAACTGAAAAAATTACCCGAAATGAGATTTACCACCTCTAGTTATGAAGCGGTGAAAGTACCCGAAAAACGACAATCACAAATCGAAATCCTACGGTCGAATTTTGAAAAACCGCCGAAACCAAATAAACCCGACGTCGCGCCAAAATCACGAATACCAATAGCGACGACTATGAAAACTCCTCCGATGTCGCCCGAAAGAAGGGATTCCAGGAATTTGGATATGGAACATGACAAGGCCTTATTGGAATTGATGTCATCCTCTGTTACCTCCACTCCCTATACTACCTCGAAATATCAAATGAAATCGCCCAGTAAAAATGTTACGGTAACTTCGATACGTAGCAACTCCAAGATTCCATCAGGATTGCCAACTTTGAGCAGCAGTCGGCCTCCTATAGCGCCGAGAAGAATAGAAACGAGCGAGGGAAACGTTGTACAAGTGTCGACCAATGGTAATATGGAAAGCAGCTTCAAACAGTGGGTGTTCAATCCGTCCAACGTTACAAATGTGATGGTGACAGAAAACAAGCAAGATAAATATTAGATATATTAGAAAATCACCGTTAATTGTGATGTACTGTGTTACGATATCTGGAGGATATGTTATGCTCAAATAAAATATATTATTGTTAAAAAATTTCTATATATTATATTAATCAATTATTTAAAATGTATAATTTTGTGAATTAATGGAGCACAATTTTTATATACCGAGATTTATTCATAGTTTATTGTTGACGATTTGTACATAGTGTAATAATAAATACATATTTTATATGATTTAAGCATTGTTATGATTGGTTCTATACATTTTAAGGGTTAATAACATTGTATATATTTTCTAACAAAATAAATTTTAATAAACAATTTATACTAAATTTTTATTTTTCTCTGTAAAGTTACCATACATATACATCTACAGAATCGATCACCTTAAGCTATTTACAATATATACACAAGATATCTTAATAAACATTAACTGAAAAAACATATAGTTCCGTAGCTATTCTTTTCTGTAATGGAATAGTTGCAAAATCATTTAAATAATAATGAAATTTTACGTAGAACAATAAAATTCTTCCATTTTCCAAACGGACAAATTCATCTGTACCTTAAATTATCTAAACTTCCGATTACCTCGAGTAAAAAATGCCATTAACTACGCAGCAGACTGTCGATAGTTCTTTGTACTTATAATCTTTTTACCACACATCGCACATATCCCTTTTTTGTAAGCACACGACTGGCAATAATGTGATCCCACTTGGTGAACTTTTTGTCTGCAGATCCTAAAAAGAATTTTACCATAAATTAAAATAAACTTACGGTACTTCGAGCACTTTCGTACCTGCACGTCTCAAATTTAGTAGTGTACGGGTTAAATCTGTTTTTGGATGCAGTGAGGGCCTTGTTTTCATTTATTTTTCTACCACCCGACTCGGTCGTGTTCCTCGCTCCACTTTTCCAGGGATCTGGAGTAATCACTTTGCCACATTTCTTCTGGCACTTGTCACAAACCATGATTCAAAAACTGTGTATAAAAAATAATAAAAATAATCTTGTGATATTGGCAAATTTACAATTTTAATGAGAAATTGACAGTTTTTGACTTTTTGATGATTTATTTTGACACTTTACAGATTACCAACTGGTAACTGGTGGTTTATGCTACCAACCCAATAAACAAAAATATTGTTCATCTTCTTCTTCTTCTCAATATTCCTCTAATTCAGCGGTCTTCAAACTTTTATGACTTGCGGAGCCAGGCTAACATTTCAATTTTATTGTGGAACCCCCACACCTAGAAAATTTTCGAACACATTCTGTACTGATTATATAAATATATTTATAAATACTAGTTTTAATTAAGTAATATAATAATAATTTTGTAGTAATGTTATTGTAGAGAAGTTGTGGGGATCTCCAGAGTTCCACTCTAATTCGACAATCCGTACTCTAGATGAAACAGTAATTAAATGTAGTCATAAATTCACGAACTACCAAAAACAGCTTATACAAATAAACAACCAACACCGCCATGTTTTAAGGAAGTAAATCTGGCAATATATCATAAACTTTTATTTTCACAAAGAAATACCTATACATACATATTTCCTATCATAAAATATAATAAAAACATTCATGAATAATTAAAAAGTTACAATAAAGTATTTACAATTAGTATTTTTCATTCACTTTATTTTTTTCATCTTTTTCTTCTTATTTGCAGATTTGTTTTGGTTTGGCCTTTTCTTTCCGATGTTTTTATTACCATCAAATTTCTTCCCACCACTTGCTCCTACTGCCTTGTTGAAACCTTTCAACCACCGGTTCCTCTTATCTTCCCAGGCCAGTTGTTTTACATCTTAAAAAAATAAAAAAATCAAATGAAATTTAAAAAAAATCATTAAGGGCTCATTATTTTAAAAAAAAGCTAAATATACTTACTTGCATTATCTTTGTTAGCGTAAACATTGGAACTACCCGGTTTAATTTTAGAGCTACCTTCATCGTCCAAAAGCGTTGCGAATTCCTCAGCAGAAGCAAACAATGACATAACATTGTCCTTGTCTTTGTATTTATTTTTCTTGCCTTTATTAGGCTTATTATCATCCTCGATGAAATCTATGTCTTCCTCGTCGTCATCTTCCAAGTCGCCAATAAGATCTAAAACAGATTTATTAAGTGATCGTTATTAAGAAATATAAGACTTTATTCATGCGTTACCTTTGTCGTCGTCGTCCATATCGGACAGTTCATCATCATCGTCTTCTAAATCATCGAAACCTTCTTCCATATCTCCATCATCAGATAAATCTTCTTCATCTTGGTCTTCTTTGTCTTTTCCTAAAAAAGAAATACACATAAAACCAATAATTCAAAAATTTGGTAAAATATTCCACCTTTTGTTTTATCAGACTTCAAAGTATCACCGATCTCATCCATATAGTCAATATCCTCATCTACATCTTTAATACCCGACATTTTATCTAGCATTTCCTCAAATTCGTCGCTTTGTACAGATTCTAAATCACTGTCCTCCTCATTTGGCTCTTTTTCTCGATATTTGTTCTGTAGATAACTAAAAAGGACATTAGTTATTTCAGTACAATGACTCGGCTAATACGAAAGCAATAAGTACGATTTGATGCGAACGTGTAACGATGGCAACTTTTACTACTCAAGAGTACTGCGACAATAATTGTATAAGTATACGGGAGTACGGGCACAGATTTTCTGGGAAATGTGTACCAAAATAAGAAGAAATACGAAACAATTCACTTACGAGTACATAAAAAGTTCGTCTACCGGAATGTTCTGCTGGCTCTCCTTTAAGTATCCCGCGGAATTAACAGATAACATTTTCACCCCTTTGGGCTTGTATAATTTCCTAATGCCAAACGTAGGGTGTGACCCAGGCTTCTCGTCGATCTTCTTCGGATTTTTGAACACAAATCTATCCAAAAATCTTATTAGAGTAAAATCTTTAATAGGATCTCCCGAATATTTGATCGATTCACCGTTTATAATATTGGTAGCATACAATTTTACGGTTGGGTGAAAGTGATCTTTGAGCCTATAGAGTTCCGTGTAGGCACAAAATTCGCCGCCACCGTACAAGGGGTTCCTTGAAAGAGGCCTGTAGGTAATCGCGGACCGAGATTTTTCCTTTTTTATCGTGTTTCGGCAGTGGTACCAGCTACCTGTTGCAGTTAACGATGCATCTAGTAGTTCCTTGTCTGGTTTAACATCTTCTTCTTCTTCTTTTATTTCGATTGCATTTGGATCCACTACAATCTCACTTTTCCCCTAAAAAGTATTTGTTAGACACAATTAAATAACGCAGCAAGTATAATGCACCTCCTTATCGTTCACATCTTCTTCCTTAATCTCGACATCTTCGTCTTCCTGTTTTATTTCTTCCACTTCGTCAACGCCGACAGTAGTTTCGTCTTTAACGTCACAGTACCTTTCCTCGTCGTCGTCGTCTTCCAAACCATCGATAGAAGTTGCTTTAAGGACGAGGGCTTGTACGGATTTCTTTTTAGTGATTATCTGTGACACCAAGTACAACAAACCACAGGAAAAGCACGGTTGTGTAAACAGAGATATCTTAAAAATACATTGTTTAAGAAAATACAGAAGTAGACGTCTGCAGAAATGTTACCTGCAGTAACCTTTTGATAAACATCTTTACTCTATTTAGTTCCGTATCTTTCAGCAGGGTTTTGTATATAAGGTTTAATAACATGGCCTGGTGCGTCGTCGATAGCAACCTCGGATCGGCTAGCTTTCTATACAAAGCGGAATAAAACCTAAAATTTAAAACATCGAAAGTTAATTCGTTGAATGTTTTAGAAAAATTGATGGCGACACACCTGTCCGTTATATTATTTCCAAAATCCGACACCTGATACAACAACGTAAGGGTGTGTAAACTTATATTGAAGTTCGCTAAGTGCACTAATCTATACATCGTGTCTATATGTTCAGAGATTTTTTCAAACTCGATCTTGGCGTAGGGATAGGCCCTGTTGAGGCCCATCAGAAGTGCAGACATCATCCTACTGTCTACATCGCCCTAAAATTCAAAAACGACGAGATAAAAACATCTCCGCTACAGTAACAACAGACGTTTACCTTTTTAATACAAGCTTTGAAAAACGAAAAATATACTTCTATTAGCTTCCTTGCCACATCACTAGCTTCGTGGCTCAAATAAAACTGCGATAAAAAGCACAAACTGTAGTATTGAGCTCTACTAGAGATGTTGGGCCTAAACATTAACTTCTCTATCTCGTTCAGTACGACACCCTGCATATTTGTGTGTTTGAAAAGGAGTTGCGTTAGGCAGTATATCACTTTGGACGCCACTTTCTGCGAAGGGTCTCCAAGTTTGTTGACAACGTACGATAATAAGTTCTGAAAGAGTAATGGTATAGTTTTTCTGATATCAATTGAAGAACCAACAGATTAATATTTATTTAGCCAGGTCTGGTCGAACTAAACATGGAGGGGATAGAAAAGTATACGCTCAGTTGAAGAATGCGAGCGCGGGCAAAGGAAAACGATCACAGTTGCATTGGGCTACTGGGCAATAAATCACAGCAGATAAGTAGTTGATAAATTGCCCAGCAGTGCAGTGCAGCAATGCGGAATTTGGTGTGATTATTGATACGTTATAAAAACAGTTTTAAAACAACAAAAAAATGCAATTTTTTGTTAATAAAATATAGAATGTATTTTCCAAATTGTTTGTTTCCAAAATAGAATCATTTTACCGTACTTTAGTTTCTAGGAAAATGCCAATGACAATATTGAATGTCACACCCTGTACATGAATTTTACCGTACACTTGTGGTAGCTACTTGTCCCACGTCTCATTTATTTTGTCATAAAAATGTTAAGTAATGTCATTTCTGTCAGTTATTCTTATTTTGACATTTTTATCATCCGCAAAATCTAACAACACACAATCTAACTTTTCGGATTGTCCCTCGAGTGAACCTACTCCCAGTCCCCCCTTAATTTATTCAAAGAAAAGTCTCAAGTGTTACGCCTGCATAAATAACGTTGAGGGGGTGAAGGAGCCCTGCACCCGTGAGGGCAAATTCGTGACTTGTAAGTACTCAAATAGGCTAATAAATTGGGAAGATGTATCATACCGCAAGTCGATGACGTTTGGCTGCTTATTATTAATATACAAAGGTAACAAAACCAATATCAAACATTTCAGTAAGCTCATCCGATTTTGTTTGTAGAGAGTGGAGATATAAAGGTTAAAAGAGGATGTGTTGGTTTACCCACCGAGGATTATAGTGTCTGTATGAAATTGGAACTGGACATCATGCAATGCATTGTCTGTAAAACAGACAGATGTAATATTTCTAATGAAGGTTTAAAGAAACGCATATCCAAACTGTCCATCCTCTTAGTGTTAATTTTAATATACTGTAATTATTTTAATTGTTTTTTATAAGTAAGGCCTAACACATTTTTAATATAAACTGTAACAATTTACAATAAAAAACTAGCTTTGGACAAATCAACCTTTTTAATTAATAAAATTTCAAGTTGCTTAATGTCGGAAAACTACTTTGGGAAATATCAAATGTCAAAATGGTAAATCTTGAAAGTGAATTTTCCTTAGAGGAAGAAAATCAGCTGTTGCAATACATCATAAAGAACAATAAATATGAGCATCTTCACAAAGATCAATTTTGGAAAGAAGTTGAAAAGTTGAATATGACCAAAGCAACCTGGCAAAATTTCAAACACCACTTTGAAAATAAAATCGTACACAAATTGAAACACCCATGGTTTAGACTGAAAAAAGAAGAAATCGACAACATTTTAAGAGCTTCATCCCGTGCCTATGTAAAAAACGAAGTTCTTGACGGTAATGAAAAAAATAAGCAGTCACCACAAGAAAATATAGGGAAAAAAATAATAGTGATAACTCGTAGAAAAAACAGTACAAATATATATCCGAATTATAGGACCCAAGGTCACAAGAGAATATTAGTGTCTCGGCACAGCAACCCCTCCCCCGATATGACATATCCCAAACCTAACCCAGACAAACCAAGAAAAACGATAGTGGCCAGTCTTTGTGCGGGAAAAAAGAAAGAAATATTTGTCGTTAGACCTAAAGATGAAGAACCATTTGAACGTTATGGTACAGAATCTAAACAAGTACAAAACAAACCACCGAAAAAACTAATATGCTTTTCTCACAATGTTCCGTAAACAATAATCTGTAAAATATTTCATGTTACTGTCCACTTTTATTGACGAAATTTCTGTTACAGCAAATAAAAATTGATCAAATTGTGCTATTTACTTTTTCCTGTTCTGGATTACCAGCTAACAATTTATACATAGCAGTGATAGCTTTTTCTTTATTGTTTTCTACACTGTCATGTGCGGCGGAGTTTAAGGCAAGCACATAAGATGCGTAAAGTTCCTTCAGTTGATCCTCAAAGTACCAAAGACTCAACAACTTTCTTCTGGTTACGGCGTTGCCAGATGACATCTCGTTTAATTTGGAGAGGGGTCTTTGATGGAAAGCTCTTAGTTTTTGATCTGGCCTTAAAAGATCAGATAAAAATAGTTCCGTTAAGATTTCTAGAAGACAAAAAATAATATTACAATATAATTAAAACAACTGTATCAGCAACATGCCTATTACAGTTGTACATTCTTTCTTCTTCCCAACTTTAACCATGCCAACAAGATTCCTTATCGTCTCTAAATTACACAATGGATTGTCTTGGATTGAAACTGTATGAGCAGCTATTTTATCCGATATAGTTCCTTTTGCCATTACAGTCTTCATCCATTGGTAGTTTGCGTTCGTTTTTGAGTTTTCTGAAGACATAAAACGTCAAACATTGCAAATATTAAAAAATTTAAATGCTTACTAATGTTGTAATTGGCGACTTCCGAATCATGGCACTTTTTTGCTTCATCTTTCAACTGAATCAGTTCTTGTTCAGAGGACTTACTGAAATTTTTTTCATCCTGCTGGATCTAAAATTGAAACGTATAACATCGATTACTAGTTCCTAAAATTTATATTAATATCTTACCTCATCGAACCATTTTTTTGGTTCTTCATATTCCTCAAGAATATCTTCGTTAGATATTCTCGGTGATTTGAAATTTTTCTTATTATTAAATTTCAATTTGTTTATCATGCTTCCAACTTAAATGCTGAAAAACTAGGTTAGGTTTTCTGTTTTTGACAGCTTTGTTGCCACAACAAAGATATAACTAAGAAAATAACTAGATGCAAACCCAGATATACCAACTTATAACATTTGATTACATCCCTGTATCTTGGACTGTGACTTTTCCATTGAATAATTAACTATGTTTATCACCTTCTATCGCTTTATTTAGTATTTTTTATTTAGTAACTACGACAACGCCGATACGAAAAAACGAGGAAGTTCTTCAATCACAACATGGCGTGCGGTAAAGTGACCTTTTTGATAATTTTTGTTATATTCGGTGCCTTTTTAAATGTAAATGGACAAAAAACTGTTATTGAACTAAACGAGGAAAATTGGACTGAAATACTCAAAGGGGAATGGATGGTGGAATTGTAAGTTTTACAAAAATTCCTGTATAATTCGGCGAATGCTGTCGTGTCAAATGTGTGTGTAAAAATAATTATCCTATCCTTTAAGCCGTATAGAAAGGTCTAAATTTTTGAATAACAGTAATTTTAAAATACAACATTAATTGACTTAGTCCCGATATTCCATATTAGCTTTTATTTTTTTATTTCAAATCAAAAGGTAGGCTTATGAAGTTTTTACCTGTTATTAAATTAACAATATTCTTAAATATGTATATACAATTACGTTTTATGAATAGTTTAATATGTATTTGAAATTTCCTTATATCCTTGATTTTTCTATTGATTTGGCAGGTCATATAAAGCAGCATAATGGAGTGATCTGTAACATTTTTCTGTGACTCACATTAATTGTACTTTATTTTTAATTCCGTGTAGTTACGCACCATGGTGCCCAGCTTGCAAAGGTTTAGAGAATAAGTGGAAAGAATTTGCTGAATTAGGCCCTGGGTTGGGGATAAAAGTAGGTGCAGTTGATGTGACAACTTCACCAGGCTTGAGTGGACGTTTTATGGTAACTGCCTTGCCAACAATTTTCCAGTAAGATCATTACAAATTTGTAAAAAAAATATGTTAGGAATTTTATTTTTTGTAGTGTGTTTAACGGAGAATTTAGGCAGTATAAAGGAACAAGAGACAAAGACTCGTTTATTACTTTTATCGATGAGAAGAGATGGGAGCAAGTCGAGCCGGTGCCGAGTTGGAAGTCGCCAAATTCAATCCAGATGGGTATAGTGTCGTCGTTTTTCAAATTATCACAAACGTTGAGGGTGAGAATATTCCAGATCGTTTCGTTTCGTTTATTTTTTAACGTTTTTCTGATTTTTAGCAAATACACAATAAATTAACTGAGGAATATGGATTACCCACTGTTGGCTCGTACTTGATATTTGCTATTGCTACTATTATCCTGGGGGCACTTTTGGGTTTGGTAAGTATTTTAATGTGTGACATAATCAATTTATAGCAGCTTTATCATCGCTCATAAATTATAAGCATTAAAAATGTTGATAAAAGGATTACTTCAAATATGTTTGACATTTTTACAGTTAAAATAATACTTTGCAGTTTATTGCGATGAGCAATTTATGTTTTTTCCTGTATTTTTTTATGATTCTCATATTTTTGTATTTTTAACGGTTTTTATCACGTGTTTGCACAATTGCTAGGAAACTGGGAATGAAACAACACTCATTCAAGTTTTTTTATTTCTACTTTCGAATTATTAGTTATAGTTAATCGAGAACCTTTTTTTTGATAAATGTTTTCGTCGCTTATAACTTCCATCGATCTCGTTGTTTGTTTATAGATCTTGGTGTGCGCCATCGATCTGATTTATCCACCTAAGCCACTGGTCTTGATCAAAAAGGAAAATAAAAAGATTGAAAAAGACAGCGGCGACGAACTAGTAAGTAATCCTTATTTTTTATGTCACGTCGTGTGCAAACTGTAACCTTCCCGTAGGACGACGAGGATATTAAGGACGACCTTGTCGATGACGCCAGCCAGTCGGGCGGCGATCATAATTCCGGCACCGACTCGGAAACGCAAAATTCCGGTGAGGCTCCCGCCACGAAGGCAAAAAGGCGCAAGAACAGGAGGCTCGACATGTGATGACGAAGTACGTAACTTTGAGATAATTAAAAATTGTGACCGTTTGTATCCCGCAATGCAAACAATTACTGACTTCAAGGCATTTGTTTTTTTTAGTACTTCCGTTTTGTTTACGTAACATATTTCAGAGGTAAAAATTGGCTTGAGACTAGAGTACATCAATTAACGTTTCCCTTAATCCGTTCCTATTTATTTGTAGTTAAATGTTTCGCTCTAATAATACTAGTTATATAATATTGATACCGCAAAATAATTTTGTTATGGATACTGGAATTGTGATGGAAAAAAATTGTTTAATAAATTATTTGTGACATTTTTCGTGGATGAATAATAGGATGTTGATATTTTGAGTCGATAAACTATATCCGCACTAAGTATCGTGCTAGGACTAAGTAGTTTAAATTAATGTCTGGATAACTCGTTTTCTTGATTTTATCGATACAAATATGTTTTTCTATAACAAAATTTAATCGTTATATGCAAGTATTATGTATTTCTCGTCGTTTACTCCTGTACGGTACTTAGTTTGAATGTGGTTCCTATTTTTGTTGGAGACGATAAAATGTCGATATTATGCGATGGACTTTGTACTGTTTAAAAAATGTACATACACACGCCGGGCAAACAGTAAATCTGTCGAGTAATCGTTTGAAGCAAATTTCCTCAAAAGTATAATGCTGCGAAGGCCTATCGTATACGTTATGGTAAAAATTAAATTTTTGGACTTGGCAGCTTGTTAGTTCCTTTTTTGTTTGTTTATCTCTGGTGTGTATGGACGTAAGAGTTGCTAGTACGGATATTTATTCATTCCAAGTGGTTGTGTAAATTTTTTGGACTTTATTGTTTGCTTGTAAATTTTATATATAAAGTGTACAGTTTTCTTTTTACTATTTCTTAATAAAATATTTCTATAAACAAACCGTGTTTCATTTCAAACAAGGACTTTTTTATAGGCAACCGATTTACACTAGTGGCAATGATTAACATAAAATTCCCTAAAGATATCACCGACACGTCTGGAGTGAATAATTAATTTTTCTTAAAAATTTCGTTTTGCTTCGAATTCTCTGAATTGCCATTTGGTTTACAAAAATTTGCACAGAGCTAGAAACGACCCAGACAGATGGTACTCGGGAATTGTAAAATGCTCTATACCAGTGACGGTTCGTGAGATTGAGAATAGGTGAAGCATGTTTATTGATTGACTAAAAAGAAAAAAATGTGCCATTTGCGAAAATTTTCAAGGTCAAACGGCATTAAATGCGGAGTTTTGTGGAAATTCCTATAAACTTATAAAAATAATTTTAAATTGCACAACCAAAAGGAAATTTTAGGTGAAGCGGTGCGTCACCTGACGTGCCGCCACTGCTCTATACCGGGTGTTTCAGAGTTGAAGTGACAAAAGCTTAGGAGAGATTCCACTCAGCAAAATATGTAAAAAGGTTCATATTAACATGGGTCCGCAAGTGCTTCATTACTGAGATACAGTGTCAATTTAAAAAAAATGAGTTTTTTAAAAATACTTTAGTTGATCTGAATGAATTTTTATTTTTTTTTTTTTTTTTTGTAGAAAAGAATATTACCTTGTAGTTCTTTTGCTGTTTTTATATAATATTCAGATAAACGCACTAAAAATAGTACATTTGTCTTTTGACTCTGTTTAGTGTCTCGCCTGGTTTTCGAGGACCTTCAAAAAAACGACTTGCTCGCTGGGTACACTCTTGAAATTTACAGAGGATGTATGATAACTGTTTTAATAAACCGTAAAAATTTTATTCAAATCGGCTAAAGCGTTATTTTTAACTTTTAAAAAAATTAACACTATTTCGGAAATGAAGCACTTGCTCGTGCATATGAACTTTCTTACATATTTTGCTGAGCGGAATTTCCCCTACACTTTCGTCACTTCAACTCTGAAGCACCCGGAACAGCTTTAATTTGGAAAAAAAAGGTTTTGCCTAGCAGTTTTCATATTTGTATATTGCTCAAATATGTAAATTTTGTCCAAATCAGAAAATAAAGACTTTTAAGCTGGATACTTTGGGTTATGGTGCATCAATTTCAGCACTTGGGAAGTTTATCGTTTCATTAAATCTCGATATCTTGATTCGTTTGAGATACCCAAAGTTTTTAATTTTTGGTAATTTTCTTGTGATATCAAATAGCTTCTCTATTTTTTAGAGATACTTTTCAATATTGATAAGTTGTAAGCGCATTCCGCGGAATTATTTGTAGCATTCAAAATTCCCGTAAAAAATTTTTGAAGTTGGTACATGTAAAATTGAAGATTTTTAGTAATTTTCTTGTAATTTTGTTGGTAATTGTTTAACTGAAACTGACATTTCAAAAATATAACCTCTATTATATATGGCCATATTTTATTTTTTTTTTTTTAGCAAAGTTAGTAAATAGTAATCAGTTGATTCTTAATTTAATATTTAATGCACAAATAGTTTATAAAATGAAGTATGACGCCAAAATCAACAGTTTGGTTATATTTTTCTGTATTGAGTAAAAATCATTATAAATGTAACTTCTGCTCAAAAACAATTTTTAAGAGTTCCATTATAATGGAAAAACATTTAAATAATTGGGGAAAATTAGAAACCAGTTTATAAAAAAGTCTAAAGGTAGGTAAGTAAAATATATCGACACATATTCATTAGAATAAAAGTAATATTTTGCTTTGTCTACTCTCAAGCAGTGACCTGTAAAAACATGACGTCACTCATAGGTGCCTTATTAGATTCAAAAGTACTTTTCCCGACATGTCCGGAAATTTCATCGAAATGTCCGTAACACACTTTTCCGAAAAGTGCCCATCTCTACTATTTTTGTAGAGGTTTTTATTCATTTTGTCACACCTTATTTTTTTCTATCTTCTTATAAGCACTGTGTTTAGTTTGTGAATCTCTAGTTTATGACAACTATATAATATCAATCCACCTCACGAGATATGACAAGAGAAATGGAATTTGAGAAACATTTGTTTCTAAAAGTCAAAGGTAGCTTCAGTATAAATATAACAAAAATCGTTTACAGAATATAATTTTCTCGAGTTGTTTAAAATAGAAAATGTATTTCCCACCGTAAAAAATTCAATTTAAAGAAAATTTTATGGAAATTCAGAAGTGAAAAAATATACAGACTTCTCCACTCAATAAAAAATATGTCAAAGTCATAACTGAAAAAAACTGCAAATACAGGAAACTGGATTTTATGCAAAAAAAAACAAATGCCATCACAAAAAAGATACTAAAAATTAAAAACAATCTATCAATTGGACAAATCGAGATATCGAGATGCGGCTTTCGTCGCTCAATTCCTCTTTTTATCTATCTCGGGAAATAAGGGAAACCCCAAGCGTTTGAATTAGCTCACGCCATACAAATAATGCAACAGTCGCAGAAAGAAGCCTCTGTATTTGTTAAAAATCAATAAAACAATAAATAACCTACACTGCGTACAAATCACTTTCATTCTTAAACTTAGGAGCGGGCCTCGCGAACGGTGAGAACCACAGCAGCGAGAACCTCCCGAAGACGGCCTGGATGCTTTTCCACCGCGATTTCTTCACCCACCTCGCCTCCTCCTTTTTCAGCTGTTCGATGCCCGTCTCGTCGTTCCAGATGGCTTGCACCTGAGTACCGAGCATGACGGCCGTGAAGATAGCAAAGAGGAGCGCCTCGAACATTAAGAACAGCAGGAGAACTACCGTGGCGGGAGGGGAGTAAGTCGTGCATTCCTTCCACTCGTGTCTGATGCACATTAGGAATTGGTTAATGGCAAGGAACAGCGAGTGCAAAGATATTGTTGCGATGTAGAACTGAAATCGAAAAGTTCCGATTACAAATATGTATTCGAAAATACAACATAAATGAAATCAAAGTCGTAATTCTGATAATAATTGAACTAGAGATGAAAATTTGGACCAATTGTATATAAATACACTTTCTACTTAGAAAAATTTGCCTTAAACATTATTAAAAAAAGTTTTCTTTATCAGATGTAGATATTCTTTAATTTCCGATGGATATTAACTAAAATAGCATGTCATGCAGAACAAATACAGTTACTGGTAAATTAAGTATTGATTTTATTCCAACCGATAGGGAGCAATATCGACTCTTTACGATCAACTTTATTACCCAAATAAATTCTTTATTGGTAGTTCTGTGCCAAAAGTGTTATATTAAATTCAGACGCTACAGTTTTACATTGATACTATGATAGCGGTTTTCCGCCCAAAAAATACATGAAAGTCATTTTCCGATAACAATTGTAACTTGTCAATGTAATGAGTAGGCAATTATCAGTAACACGAAACAGTACTTTAAATAGATTAGATAAAAACGTCTAAAAGTTTGCAGTTACAGTCCTTGAGTCTTCACAAATATAAAGGATAAAATATACGTTTAAAAATAATATAATTACAGATTTTTGTGCTTACCGTAAATAACACAAAATATTTTTGATTGTTCTCTCCGACACAGTTGTTTACCCAAGGGCAATGGTGGTCCATCTTTCGTATACATCTAAAAGTAAAACATGAATTTGTGAATTAATAAATAATTCTACCTATTTGAACTGTATATATTTTTTTGCTAAATACCTTTGGCAAACCGAACAATGATGTGCTCTGTCGGGCTTTATACTGCAACATTTAGGGCACTTAAATATCACCTGACCCTCGCGAAAGCCCATCTGTTTTATCATCTCTTTCGTAGCATTCCCCTTGGGAACAGCACCCTAAAATAAGAAGTAAATATGAAGATTACAGCTCCAAAAATATAAATCACATGAATTTTAGTTTCATATCTTTTGATTTTGTTAAACGTATACTTACCGGATCTGTGAACATCGTTTTGACATGAGACGTGATAGCTAAAAACGCACACATTTGGAAAATAATCATATTGACAATACTGTATATAGGATAGGGGCTTGGAATGAGTATAACAGACATAACTACGAACTCTGCGTAAAGAATAAGTAACCATGTTAAAATTGCACATATAATTCCACATATATCCCTTATACACCACAGCATACCACCACAACACCGATTATGGAAATCTGACTCCTTTCTGAAAGAACCGTATTCATATTCCATCATGATTGTCTTCAAGTTCCCTAATAGTATTGTTTATTTCTTCTAAGGGGGCCTAATTGTTTCTTCTGCTCCCAGGTTATATTTCATAATTTGAAAAATAAGTCATGTTAAGTAAACTATTATAAATTACATATTAGAAAGTTCCTGTATATGTATGTGGTCCAGCAATACTTAATTTGCAAAAAACATTTTAACGGCTACGCCAAAATTTTACGACTTTTGTCAATATTGACAGTTTAAGGACTATTTTGTACACAAACCTAAAAAGCAGGCAAAAATGAAAAATAGTTTTCTACATTTCTACACAGGTAAATTTTTGTTTATTAAGATGGAAACACTATCTTTTCTGTCTCTTTCCTTTGCCCAAGACTTCACAAAATTTATTTTATTGTCCTTTTTTAACTGTTTACCTTTAGGCCTTTTTTCGCGATGGTCATCATCTAACCAGTTAATCATTACTGGAGGGTTTATCAATATAGAGCAGTAGAAAGTTTCTATTTTTAAGAAACAATACTCCAATTAAACTTAAATATAGTATAAAATAATCCGATGCTACTACATAACATGTGTATTTTATTTTTACTTTACTATTTTAATATATTGACAAGCGCCGTAAATACTATTTCTAAATTCTCTCTGTTTCTTGGTACTCCTATCCCAGAATAGCTTCTATCATTAAACGTGAAATACACTCAGCAAAATAACAAATATTTTCAAGGTAGGTGAAATTGTTTCTTTTTTAACTGTTCTGAGTGAGAAAGAGACGAAAGATGATCGTTTCAAATAACTGGGGGTTAGTAAAGTGCTAATGTGCTTAGTATTAAACGTATTTAGTTAAATGTTCATGCCATATGTCATTTAAAATTACGTCAAAATAAAAATTTGCCGATCTTGACATACCGCATACCGTGATATTCTCGAAAAATAGGCTATTGTCACAAATTTATTAATTTGGAAAAACTTTTTTTAAATCTCTTATCTCCGTTTGTTTCATTAGAAGTGAGATGGAAGCGATCAACGTCAGAGGAGGATTGTTATTTAAAATTGATGACAATTTGACAAGCGCTTACAACGTGGAGAATTTTAATGCAGGTGAAATTAGTAAACATATCTATAATGAATTAAAATTATTAAAGGTTTCTATAAAAACGGTTTATTAACTTCGAAAAATGGCTGTAAGTAAAAATTATGTGTTTTTCAATATATTGTTATGCTAATTAAACATATTTTAGCCTCCACAAAAAGGCAAACAAGGCACGAAAGGTGCAAAACAGATTGTGGACGAAAATGTATCTACATTGAATTTTTATAGAAACATGGCCATTGGAGCCAATGCAGTGTCACTTCTAATTCTAGTTTTCTATCATTCTACAATTAGTATCGTAAGTAATCAAATAAATCAAAGGAAAGTGTGTGACGAATGAAATTTTAGGTTTTGTACCTATTCTCGTGTATCATATATATAGCTTGTTACCAATTTATGGCATATATGGCAAGAGCAAAATATACCGAAACGGGTCAGTTGCTTGACAGTGGGGTAGATTTAAATATGGAAGGAGGCATAGCCGAGTAAGTTACACATACATTCTGTAGTTAGACCTGCTCTTAGCATAAACTATTCTAGGCACGTAAAAGATATAATCATATTAACGGCAGGGTGCCAGTTACTCTCTGCAATAATTTCAAATTATTTCTGGTGGTTGTGGCTCCTGGTGCCTCTGCGCGGGGCTTGGATAGCCTGGAAAAATATCCTCCAACCTTATTTCTTCCAAGAAGCGCCCAATCAGCCTGAAGTTAACGAGAAGAAACAGAAGAAAATGGAGAGGAAGATGAAACGAATGCAGAGATAAGGTTTAATTTGTAAATAGTGTACGGTTAAATTGGTGGAATGGGAGAATAATTTATTATGATAGCTACCGACTGTTTCTTCGTTAAGGACGGTAAGGAAAAGATCAATAGGATTAGTTAAATAGTTTAATGTCATTGCAAAACAGGATATTTTTAGTGCTGATTTTTGTCGAAATACTTGACACTGCCAATAGTATATTTTTAAAACGTATTTAATAAAAATATTTCACGAAACCGGATATGTGTGCCGCCTAAAGTTGTAAATTTTTTATAGTTACAAATTATTTGTTCAAATATATTGTTATTTACATTATTATATGTATACTTTAAATGTTTTTATTTTATTTTTACAACCGAATTGTAATTTTTTAACAATTTCTAAGCCTAAATATAAATTGTAAATTTATTTGTTAATAAAATTTCGTTGTGATAATTATTTTTTTTTATTTTTATTCCTACTAGTCTGTGACATGATTATTAAAGGGATTAAAGGCTAAAATATGGATATTTATTAAATTAAAATCAGATTTAAATCGAACTAAACGTACTCATTTTTATGCAGCCACTTCTACAATAAAGTGTATTACTGGTTGCAGATAAAAGTTTAATATGAGAACTAAAGGCTAACAATGTATTAAGATCAACCAATCTCTACATTCCAGGAATTCTTCATGTCATTTTCATAGAATGTCTCTATTAGAGGTTGTTTTTATTATTTTTTTCTGTAAATATTCGAAATTAAATTGTGTTTTTAATAAGAAAACACTAGTTAATGAGCTATTGTCATTTTTTAACTCTTATCGTCATATTTTTTTTTCTCGGTCGAGGAAGTATATTGCCTCCAGATATTTTTAAGGTCAATAGTACATTTTTTTCGCAGAAGTTGACAAGCCTAAGGTTAAAATCTGAATTAGATATCTTGAAAGCCTTTTTAGTTATCGCAAAAATATTATATCTACCGCCCCCTAAAGAGTTTCATCTTTATTTTGTTTAAATATTTCGGTAAAGAGGAAACGTATCGGTAAAACGACGTAGAGAGAATAATAGAAGTTATTATTTTCCTGTTAATATAAATTTCACATTTAATTAACAAAGTAATTTTAATACAAATAAATAAATAGATTAATTAAGAACAATTGGAAATCTGGATCTGGGTCACACAATACAGTGAAACTTCGCTGCAGCAAATAATCTACAGATGCACTTTTAAAAAATAAATAAACAATTCGACTGCAATAGCGAATAAACGTGGGAAAAACTACCAAAGTAGGTCAGTTTTGTGACCGCACGACATACTAGTAGGAAATAATTTAAACAAACCCCGATGATATAACAATAACTAGTGTTGCAAAACAGAGTAGCGTAAATATTTTGTTTCCTGCATGTCTAGACCTTGAGATTTTCCCCCAGAAGCAGCCAGCAAAAGAAAAAGAAACCCTTCCAAGTGTGGGTAGGTACAAGACTGGAGTGATAGTTCAATAATTGAAATCCATTGTGTGTTGCTGCGGTACTCAAGACTGTGACTTCTTCGAGAGGCACTCCTAGACCGATCTCTTGCCACCGGTGTTGACTTTGAGGTAAGTGGACACAAAATACATTTTTCCTAAACTTTTAATGAAAATCTTATTAATAAAGTCATGATATGATTCTATGAAAAATAAAAAAAAATGTACATGTATCATTTCAAACCTGAACAACCTGATAAAAGTAAATCCATTTTAACCGGATTTTTTTTTTGTTGGACACCAAAAACTGTACTTGTGAACAAAATGTCATTTGATTTTTATTAATCAAGGCCAACCCTATTTTTTTGTGGGTTAAAATTGAAGAAATCGTATTTAGCGCCCTCTTAAATAAATGTGTATCAAATTTCTCAAAATTGAATATGAGAAATTGATCTGATAGTAGCTCCTTTATTTATGAATAAGGGACTTTTGAAGAAATCCAAATCACTGATATTAGTAATGTTATTATAATTAATTTTATTATCGTTTTTTAATGTTTTTTCATAGCTTGTTTGTCTATAAATGCATAAAAATATTTTATTATTAAATTCCTCTGCAGAAATTTGAAGGTTCAGTATTTTTTTTAAGAAAGTGCCTGGGTACANCACAAGACTTTTCTTTGTTGTGGTAGCAAACACGTTTCAGCAAAACGTATTTACTTGTGGCAGCATGAATTTTTTTCTGTGAGAGCAAAAATTTTACCTACTGTAGCTAAAATATCTTAGCAAAGCCCATCACTTGGTGGATTTCTTTCAGTGCATGTTTCTTTTTTAAACAAGAAAACAACTGAGGCAATTTCATTCAAATTTTCTAAGCAGCTGCTATTTTTGATAATCTACAAACAAATAGAGTTTTATATGCAGGTGCGTGGCTTTAGGGGTGCTCCTAATTTCTATGTGTTCAAAAATATTTCAAATCGAATTAGTTTTTATATATTTTGTAATTTGATTCTAAGTGTACTTATGTTTAAATCTCATTGATCAAATTATATCAACAACGCGATTTGAAATTTACTATGAAGCTCAAATGACGTTTTCTGAAATTAAATCGACTACTGCTGAAAAGCATTTGAGAAAGGTACAATAGGTACAGGGTGAAAAAAATACACTACAGAGAAATCAGTTGATAGTCATGTGCCTCAAATCAAATCTCTTTTTTTTTTCAACGGATATTTAAATAGGATTTAACTAAATCTCTTAGCAATGACTAATCCAATTTCTCATACCATGACAATCAAAGCTGATTTAATCAAATTATAGTTAACCTTTTTGATAAACCCTGTCTGGAGATCTCAGAGAAGTAAAATTTTACGAAAAATACCAAATTTGCTTGTTGTAGACTGGCGACGTGCGACACATTTAAAAATACCTAGTCATCGCATCATAATTCCGCATTGAAAGAGCTGATCCCATGAAATTATTCAACTTGAACTTGAAACTTTCCCCGTTGTCTTATGCAACTATTACCTAAATTCCAAACATAACAGACCGACAGGGAAAGCTTGTACACGAGAAAAGAAAATTACGCGCATAACGAAATATTCGGCAATTCAACATTTCTTTGTATGTGCATACTTTGTGAAACAAGTATGCAGTCTTGCATGTACAGGGTAATTAAGACAGCAGATTCATTAGGGACAAACCATATACAAAATTAGGACAAAATAATTGTATTAAACCTAATGAAAAATCCTTAGTTTGTAATTCAATTATGCTAATAAAACAGCTATCTACTTTTTGTGCATTCATTAAAGAAATCAATCAAGGCTTTGTTTGGAGGTCAGCAGATTGCGGCAGTCCAACTTTTTTCATAAAAAAATTTTTTAATTTCTTAATTGAGTAGTAGTTTAAATATTGTACAATGAGTGTCATATATTACAAAAATAAAAATATACTAGACTGATTAGCAGATTCCCATTAACTGACACAGCTACTTGAACAATTTTGTGAATACATTGAAGAAACAAAAGGTAGTAACATCATTTCACCATTAATCGTTACTAAATGGTACCAATTATTCTGTTACTGATGTATCTAGTTTTCTATTTTACCGTTAGCAATCGTTTGTAACATTAACACCACAGATTACACCTTTTGCGCTTTATCTTTTTCTAAAGAAATCATTTTTAAGTGAACGATCTTAAAAATTTTAACTAATCGTTCTTTAATCTCGCTATTTACTTCTTGTATGTAAACTTTTTGGTTCATGCAAATTATTTAGTTTTGATACTACCTAATATTTTATACAAATAATTTCTAAATGATGAGGTGGCTAAAGTAATGAAAATAGTTTTAGTATTTAAACTCCTTTACAGTTATAAATTTTTAAAAACAATTAACACGAACAAAAGTCCACTTTTCCAACATTGCGAAAGATACCTATGACTTATTTTGTCTGCGAACTAGCAATTGGAAAAGTGGATCTATTACTTCTCATCTGCCACAGAGATATTAACTGCATTTTAAGATTTATTTAGGTATATTTAAATTTTATGGTACCTCTTGCAGGGGAAAGCTGCATGTTGAAGTTGTTGCATAAAAAGCAATTTTCTCCGCTGCAACATCAGATATACAAATAGGTAGGTATCTACCATTTCTTACAGTGTATCTGCCTTTCTCGCACAATATAATCAAGTTATTATACCACATTGAGTTTATTGAGCAAAGTATATCTACTTACATCTTGTAGTTGAAGAATTCACCTGTTCTGTTCATGAAGAGGTAATCAATCAAACGTTTTTGATATGAAGATATTATTTAAACCACTCATTTATTGCCTCCGCAGATTTATTCTAATAATAGACCTAATACCCATAAACGGTATTTCAACATAAAGCTGTTTGTTCCAGTTACCCAACAGATTGTCTTAATAACTAGCGCTAACATTTTTTTAATTATTGTCGCCGAGTGACCTTGAAAGGAACTTTATTGTCGTTATTTCGCCGTAATTAGTGCTTCGACACAAAGTTAAATGAAATTATTCAAATTGGGTACAAGTTTCATACATTGCTTTAATTTCGTAACAAGGGAAAATTAGGATTTCATTTTACATGAGGTAAAGAAAGCACGTTGCCTAACAGTTACTACAGTCATATTTTAATAAGCACTTCTATTATGGCCGCTAATAAAAGGGACGGGTAAAATTAAATATTATATAAACACCGCACCAGCCGATTATTTTATAACAACGGATGTGTATTTTCTGTTTGCTTTTGTTAAGTAAATGTCGTGACAGGCTATTATTTAAATCATTACTTATTCGGCAGAATGTGATGTAAAAATGGAATAGGTAATCATAAGTACATGTTTGTACAGTACTTTCACGCCAAACTGTTGTTCCTTTAATTTGATTGTGGGGCAGAAAACGAGGAAGCAACTGTGACTGCAAGTTGTTAGTGCCTATTAGCACTGTTAGGTTGCAAACGATATAGCTTACGCTTTTCCTACAATTGCATGACTTGATTTTTTCTGTAAATTTAAGGCAGATTTATGAAAAAACTACTAAAAAATATACTTTTGTTATGGCATACTTATTCAAACTAGTCTTGACATACTTTGGGCATAACTATATTTTTCTATATAAAAAAATTAAGAAAATACGCTGTTTGATATATAAAAGAGTAAATAAATATTAACCAGAACAATTAAGCAATCACAAGGTCAACTAACGTTTAAAAATGTTCAATGTTAGATTAACTATTTCTTTACAAAACCCAGTAATTTTTATGGTATTTTAAGATCGTATTTAAACGAAATAATTTACAGATTACTGACTTATTTACGTAAAATATTTTTATTTCTTATCCTAATTTTAAAATATGGTAGGTACTAGTAGTGTCTAACATGGTGAAATTCAAAATATATTCAAATATCATACCCTAAATGATCTATTATGGCCTCAGCAGATGTCTACCACTGAAGTTATATTCACCAATTCGTGGGAGGATCACAATGGCAATACCAACAAAGATAAAGACACCAACATATCTGAAAATTTAGCGGCAATAGCCAGGAGGGAACTGAGGGAAGAAGAAAATGTGAGGACTCAGTGTCTGGCTCATCTCAGAGAATGGATAAAACAGAATCCTGACATTGAAAATTGCATTACAGGTAAAAAAGAAGTAGCTACACTAAAGACAATAATGAAAATAGAAAGAATAGAAGAGAGAACGATTATAATGTCACCTGTTGTACATATATGTAGATTTAATTACGTGACCAATGACAAATTCTTTTTTCATTATTC